TTTTTAACGAGAATTTTCCAGCAGAGAAAGCTGAACGACCGTCAGAATCTATTTTAGCTACGAAATACAGTAGAAATTGATTATTTATTGACAGAACCCAAGAGTAAATTTTCCTGTACAGAACGCCTTCTCTATTATTCTGTCACGCAATGCTAACTATAAATCAGAGGCGGCAAGCGTTCGAATTCTGCCTGCTGTCCCAGAATATGTGTGGTAAGTTTACCCGAGGAAACCCTCGCGAATATCAACACCAAATTGGCCCGCATAGCGAAAAAGAACACTGACAAGACGGGCCGTATACGGGCAATACAATAATACGGGCAGTATGATAATGGAAGAAACGCGTGAAGTGTAATGTATTATATTACTAAGCGTTGTTACTGTTTAATGTGTGTTTAACTTGTAATTTCTACGGTTTTCTGTTTACAGGGTCTTCGTTTTCGTTTTCGTAGTACGAAAACAAAGACCGGGGGTCTTCGTTTTCGTACTACGAAAACGAAGACCGGGTCTTAGGTCTTAGGTCTTTGTTTTCGAGGGTCTTCGTTTTCGTAACACCCTTGTTCATACTGTTTGTTTCAAATTACAGAGGACAGATATCTTTGCGGCGACATGACGTTACGTTTGTTTGTCAATCTAAAGAAACATCGTCATGATCTTTTGGTAGACACTGATGTTGTTCATGAAACGTGATAAAGGAATCATAAAAATTATTTCGTGACTTAACTTTGTCCTCTCAACAGACGCTTCTAGTTTGTTGGGCCATACATTCTCGAACATTCTTATTTCCTGTTATGTGTAATTAATTTTAATTTGTGTTTACCTACTGGGTATCAATAACTGTATGCTTTTTGTCCAAAGCTTGTCTTTCGGTCGTAAATAATCCGTTATGGAATACTTGTAAAACACTTCATCATCAATTCTACTTCTATTTTGTAATAGACCCTTCCACGGTTTTTACGGCCATATTGTTTGGGGGTCAAACAAAATCTCGTTGCGCAGCAACAAGCAATATATTATTTTGTAATTATTCGACGCGCGTCGGTACCTTCACTCAATATCGTGACTTTATAAAGGGAAAATCGCTTATTTTCGTCTCCAAATCTAGTGGGAACATAGATAAGGCGTTACTAAAAGTAAGTGCCGAATTTTTGGCGAAGCATCTTTTTATCACTGCGTTTTATGGGCAGATTGATATGTTGTTTGAAGGTGACCTCGTGGCCGCCATGGTGCGAGAATGGCATTTTAAAAAGCACTTCTTTCGGTTGAGAAATTAGAATATGTTTTTTAGCCATCGATATTGTGTAGTTTTAAATTTTAGGATTTATGGTGGGAGTAAGTACTCAAATAAGGTTCTGAAAGCATCTGTATTTTGCATGCCAGTATAGAGTCGAACATCAGCATCTCTGGTTATTTGTGCAGAGGCTGTACACAGTTTTAACCCTGGGGAATCGTCTCCACTTTTCATCAATTCGTCACTTGCAGTGATGATATCACTATTATCAACCGATGTTGATAATCGCCGCCTTTTGGGTGACTTAGTATTTGAATGCTCAAAAGGAGTCAAAAAAAGAGTAGGTATTGGATTGCTTACTGAAGGCTTCCCGTCTCGAAAATGATTGGAGCAGACGACAACACTCTCCCTTGACTTTCCTATTGAGTAATATTTTCTTCCNCCATCACGATTCGCTTTAACTGATATTGTTGTCCGTTTTTCGCGTCGGATTTGATGCACAATTCCACCGGCTATGTTCTAAAACAATTGGTTCATGCTTTCAGCTGTGCACTATCGAGTTATGGAGCACGTGGGAAGTTTGGAGAGCACTCATGAAGCTAGAGTTGCCCTCGGCTATCGCCTCGGGCAACTCTTACGCTTCTTTCGTGCTCTCCAAACTTCCCGCGTGCTCCATAACTCGATAGTGCACGCTAAAGCATGAACCAATTGTTAAATAGAAGCTCTTCTCTTTCTTGCTACGTTATCAAACCCTACCTAAGCTTTCAGTTAATTGAATATTTACTAAATATGCAAGAAAATTAATTGATGTTGGATATGAACAAAAGATAATGCACGATTCTTGAAATAAGGGCTATATTACCCAAGGAACAAAATAAATTATATTAATGTACTAAGATAACTATGTATGCGATTGGGTTAACCGATAGCCTTAAAACGGCCAAAAAATTTAGCCTTTAGGCGTAAAAAAAATTGCCACGTTTAAACTGATAGTCGTAAAAAAAAGTTAACCGTAAAAAAGATTTCTGGTGACAACGATGGAATGATATTAACCGTTAGCCGTAAAAGCCATACCCCATTGAGACCCTCCCGCAGAAATAATAGGGACCTTAAGAAACCACGACGGCGACGGCAACGACGAGCAGGAAAAACAAGAGATCTAATTGGCTGAACAATAGCTCAGCACGTGCGTTTTGAAACTTTGTACATTTCTTAGCCGTCCTAAGCGAAACAAAAACGTGAAGTCACCAAAATTTGCGTCGTCTACGAACCGAAACCGCGACGGCAAATTATTTTAATTTCCATTTGGAACTCAACGGCTACCGATGAATATTAATTTTTGTTCCTGAACAAAGCGAAAATTTAAACGAGGGTAGCGATGCGCGTCTTTATCATAAGAGATTCTATGGCTCGTTGCTACGCAACGAGGTTTGTTTGACCCCCAACCAATATGGCCGATAAAACCGTGGAAGGGTCTATTAGTTTCTCATGTATATTTTTCAACCCTGTGTAACGACCGGCTCAGTTTACAACATCGAACTCGTAACAATTTGCGTCATGACTCAGCAAGATTGACAATGAATGGGGGTTTGTAAAACAGGAGGAATTCTGGTAGTTTGGTGAAAATCTTATTGCTTTAGATGCTTTAACACTGAAGAGTGTAATTTTTTAGCTCTCCCTGATACATCTAAAGATCGATGAAGTAAGAAAAGAACTCATCACAATTTAAGTTTGCGATGATCACAAATTGTGCGTGAGTTACCACCGTGCCCAACTCATTGATCGACATTCAGCACTACAAACGTCGCATAAAGAAGATTCCGACCGCATTCCATTCACTCTCACGTTTCACCCTCACAACCACTCAGTTAAATCCATCATTCTTAAAAACTTTAAATTACTTCAAAACGATCCAGAGACAAGCACTATCTTTTCGCAGCCTCCGCTCATTTCATTCAAACGCGACAAAAACATAGGCAATTTTTTGGTCAGAAGTTCTTTTCAGACTAATGACCAACCAGGCACTTTTAAATGCGCTCGTGCACGATGCAAAACGTGTCCTTTCATTCACAACACTGATAAAATATCGGGACCTAAACGATCCATTAAGATCACCGATCACTTCACGTGCACCTCCGCCAATGTAATCTATTGCATATGAATAAAGGCTGATAGTTTCGAAAGAAACTGTTTGGGGCTGCGTCGGTGGGAGTAACGAAATAATTTGGATATATCAACAAAGTTGAAATGGTAAATTGGCCACCGTAA